TGTGCCGTCACCACGTCTTGTGATTATTTGTTGGAATATAAAAAAAAGTCGTGGAAAGGTGTGGAAAATGTCGCAGGACAGCAAATACCGTCGTAGAACCTCACAACTGCATGTGGGGTGAAGGCCAGGGGTAACATGTGGCTTCCAGACAAACATTTGCACGTCGTTGCCACGTCCAATCGCGCAGAAGCGCTTTTCTCGTTTGTTCCTGAAGGCCTTGGAGGGGCGCCAGACTCAGCACGAGAAATGAGAAAAACATTTTTTTTAACCCGGAGGCCCCGAAGATAACCTTTGACCAAATATGTTTGAGTTCAAATAGGTCTTTTATAATTTTCATAAATTATCAATATTACGCGCGTGGTGAGAGAACCAAGGTCGTCGTACTCTAATCTCCAAGCAGATAGTAGCGTGCGTAGTCCAGTGGTTAGCTATCCTGCCTCTGGACTAAGAGGTTGGGAGTTCGAATCCCGGCTGATGTCGCTCACCCGACATGCACGCTACTGTTTAGGGTCGCAGTCCTTTGGACGGGACGTTAACCGTGGTCCACTGTTCATTGTGCTTGTCGAAAAGAGCTAGGGGAATTTCCCCGGTACAATGACCCTGTAAATACTGTGCATAGCGTCTGTCTTCTCTGTCACGACCAGTGGAGGATTAGCTCTTCAATGAGCTAAACTGGATCGAGATCACTTTCACTTTTTTATGTTTAGGTGGCTGCAAAAGACAGTATCAAATTGGCCATGCAGTATCCATTTGCCACCCAACATCTGCCAGCACTCAAAGAGATACTGTCTTTTGCAGCCACCTTTACATCTGCTTTGAGATTAACCGTACTCCACCTACCTCCCAACTACAGATGACCTTACTCACCACTAACCATGTTATTCCTTTTATTGTAACACCTATATTACGTATTGTATATGTATGTTATCCCATTTGATATGTCGATGAACATGAATGACAATAAGACAATGAGAAACAATGAAAGATTTGTGTTGACTGTAAGATTTTATTTCAGTATTTATTTTTGCCTTGCTGCCGCCTTTGCTGAATCTGTAGTTGGACACCACAGGGCCCAGCTGTAGGGAAAAGAACATTAATTTTACTAAAGGCTTCAAATATTCTCCCCTAATTTGCAAAAGGTGGATTGTAGGAAACATTGCAACCTGGAACGAAATTCAAGCTGTTATTAAGCCAAACTAGGTTACTAGTAGTTTGTGCAGACGGCGAAAAAAACACCTCAGTTCTTTTGTCTGTGTGCATAACCATTGTGGTTGTAATTAAATGACAATTTTGTTGTTCACAACTAGCATCCGTAAAGCAGGAATGTGCTTTGTTTTAAGCACGCTATTCATGGTTATCTGAAGAAAGTATCAAAACAGATACCTTATCCAGTGATAGGGTCAGTGCTGCTGTTAGCCAGGATTGTGGCCCACACGGTGTAAAATCCGTCTCCCTCCCCATTCTCTAGGTAGCCACTATCTGTAAACAGTTAAACACCAAATGTAAGGGATGAATAAACGTCTATATGTTTTTAGTTAATCTTTTTTGAAGTCATTTTTCGTTGATGACGTCCTAATTCAATTTAGAAGATCGTACGTGACCACCACTCGTGTACTGTCCAGAACCTCCATTAAGCATGGTTCTGGATAAAGCACGGTTCTGGATACACATGGTCTATCCAGAACCGCCCTTGAGCATGGTTTTGGATAGAGATAAGTTCTGGATACACTTGGACTATCCAGAACCACCCTTGAGCATGGTTCTGGATAAAGCACGGTTCTGGATACACGTGGACTATCCAGAACCACCCTTGAGCATGGTTCTGGATAAAGCACGGTTCTTGATACACGTGGACTATCCAGAACCGCCCTTGAGCATGGCACGGCTCTGGGTACACGTGGACTATCCAGAACTACCTCTGAGCATTGTTCTGGATAGAGCACAGTTCTGGATACACGTGGACTATCCAGAACCACCCTTGCGCATGGTTTTGGATAGAGCACAGTTCTGGATATACTTGGACTATTCAGAACCACACATGAGCACGGCTCTGGATAGAGCATGGTCTGGATACACGTTGACTATCCAGAACCACTTCTGAGCATTGTTCTGGATAAATCATGCTTTTGGATGAAGCACGGTTCTGGATACGCGTTGACTATCCAGAATCGTGCCTGAGCATGATTTTGGACAAAGCATGACGGTTCAATTCTGGATATAACAGCAACCTACCGTCCAAGTCCATTCTTTTGATGATCTCCCGCAGACTCATGTTGTGGCTGCGCGCCTCCTGAAAGCTGACGGTCCCGTCGTTGTTGTTGTCTTGGTCCCGAACGAACTGTCCGGTCAGCCCTCCGAGTAGAACCCTCAGCTCGTGGGGAGTGAGCTCGTGATCGTCTGGGCGAGTAAAATGTATAGGAAAGATTCAATGATTAAATCCCCATTAATTAATTTACCTTCGCAGAAGGAAAACATATGAGAAGAAAAACATATTGTTTTTGTTCAGTTCTTCTTCAGTTCAGCGTTGTTATTCTTCTTCCGTTCCAAGCAATAAAAGTCCATGACCTGGACCAGTCGTCTGTCTCCATGGGAACTACTTGCTGTAGCAAAAACCTTGTGGTGTTGGGTTACATTATGTAGCAGAACAGACCTGGAGAGCCTGCACACCATATATACATATGAATGTATGAGTAAGACTAAACAGTGTACTTAGTTTGTTGGGCCAGACCAGGTGAAGGTAATCATTGGCCCGACTAGGTGTGGGCCCGTGAAGTCCTAGATACAAGGCAGGCACTCTAGCTTACGTTTTAAACTAAGATAACTGTGATGGGATACATAGAATAGTTTTAAAGATGCTCCATAAGGCAGAGCGTGGGGGCGTAGATCAGGCAGTCGGGGTCCAGGTTTGAGAGAGAGATGTCCAGTTGGCATGTGTACTAGGGAAGGAGTATTGAGCATTAAACTGAGTTCTTGGAGTTCAACCCCGGCTCATTTCCTGACAATAGTACATAATTTTTAATACCGTTTGTGTCCAAGGCCCTCAGAACCTCTCCGTAGCCCATGTGGCTGGTGATTTCCAGCTTGGAGAGTTTTCCGTCTCCGTTGGCATCAAGTGGGTCGTTATTCAACCCGCTGTTGAGAATGACGCTGTAGATATAGTACAGCTGGTAAGCCTCGCTAGAGATCAGGATTCCGTCACCTGCAGACAGAAAAGATCTCCTGTGTAACCTTGCATGTATTTGTTTGTTTGTTTGTTTGAGCCTTTATTTCAACTCGATCTGTAACTGTGTTACATGCTCTAATCGGCCGCTATTTCGGCCGCTTTTCATGGAGGTCGAGCGTGGAGGAGTTTCAGGGGGTCATAACATAAATACTACTTGCTCACAAATGAAAACAAAGTAATAATTTCTATACACGAGGTAACTCACACAAAGTAAATAAATAAACAAAATGGCAATAACTAATAAATAACTCATAAGTCGTTGTGTCCAAAGTCGTACTTGGACCACTTCTTGTGGGTGTAGTTCTTGTATTGCTTCTAGACCGCACTAAATCTTATTTCAACACAATATTTTATAACTACTTATTAGATATATTTGAATTATGCTTAACATTCTATATTGATGTATTTTTTTTTACTTGTTCTTATTGACCATGTAAATTTTGTATATGATGTTGCATATGATGCAAATGTTGTATATGATGTTGCATATGTGTTTCTGTATGGGGGAGGGCAACTTGTAAAGGTGTGTATGCACCTGTTTTGCCCTTTCACAACAAATAAACAAACCTTCTTCTCACTTTTCTGTTTGTACGAGTTATGCTGTACGTGTACATGTAGATCCGGTATGTTTAGTAGGGTCTGATGAAGACTAGCAAGACAGTATACAGCTAAGACTGTTACGGTCGTTTAAAATTGGTGTCATCATTTGTTTGTCAGCAAGATGGCAGGAATAATTTTTCCCACGAAAGATAGCTTCTTGCCACCTCCAAACTTAAACTTAAACATGGCAACTGACTTTTTGTTTGACATACATAATGTTTATATATAAATTTAGTATAAAAAAATGACAATTTCTTCAAAATCCCCCCATGAAAGATCACACACGGTGAGGTAGCATGCCGAATCTAGAAAATCACAAAAGCGCATTATGTATTCGGAATACCATTTATGATTCAGTAACACGGTCTGCAAGTTCACATCGTCTACCAACTCAATGTGGCCACAAACAGCATGTAACTCTTTTACAGCAAAGAAAATGAATTTTAAAAACTAGATTGAGTGTGTACCGTCTGAATCGAACTGGTCGTAAAAGTCGCTAAGGGTCATGAAATTTTCTATTTCCATGAAGGTGAGGTGGTCGTCTCCATTGATGTTGAGTTGGTGGAACATGTCGGCCGTTCCCCACAGCTCTATGATCTGATCCAGGTAGATGAACCCGTCGCCTGCACACAAAAAAACGCATAGTACGTTCTGCTTCTGAATTTCAAGACAAGATATATAAAATTAAAGATCCGCTACAGAACAAAAAACTGCTAAGAGGCCAATACTAGTAACCGATATTTTTCCTTATCTTTGCCGACCTCTACCAACATATTAAATATCTAGAACATCTAGTTCACAAACAGCATAACACATAATAACACAAAATAATAACAATACAACATAAAGTAATCGCTGAAGAAGCTTATGTACAATCAAGGGGCAAATCAAAATAAGGCAATTTAACCATGAACTTAAGTAATTTTATTAAGCTAAGTGCTTACCATCTCTGTCCAGCGCGACAAGAGCCTCATGCAGAGTCATGACGTTGAGAACTTCATCCTTGGAGATCAGACCGTCTGCGTTGGCATCCAGGGCATAATATGGCCTGTATGCCAAAAATAGCAACAAGAAACTGTGACCTCTTCAGCATAGTTTTAATGTCCATATTTACCTACACTCCGGCTAGTTGGATACATTAAAAGACCTCAAACACGGAGGACTTAAACAGCAAGAGAAAAGGCTATGGAGAATTCAAACCATACTGCAACAAATGAAATAAACACTACATATCTTACATATGTTAACTAACGGGGTCGGGTGGCGTAGCGGCAAAGTGCTCGACTCGGAACCGGGTTCGAGTCCTGACATGCCAACGATCTTGTGCCCTGGGAAAGGCACTTTACACGACTTTCCTCACTTAACTCAAGTGAAGATGAGTATTGCCCTGTCCTGAATTTGTACTTTGTGTTGGTAGCGGCATAAAATAAGTTAATATAACTTGAGTGTGCAGTCGCCATGTTTGGTCATGAAATGTTGGAATAAAAAGAAAATTAAACAACTACCGCCTCTTACCACTGAGATACTGAGTTAAACAAACAACAATCATACCTGCTGGTGAAGTCAGACTTCGACTCGTATTAAAATATGTGGACCCAAAAATAATACCATATTAAGGTTAATGTCCAGCACATACCTCGCAACCGGAGTCGCTGTTGCCAAGGCAACGAACAGCAGAAGGAAGGGGGTCATGGTTGATGAAAAGATCTGAAACGGGGCATTGTTAGAATTAAACTCAAATATACCTATCACTTTAACACTTAGCATCCTTAACATACTGTAAAAACAAAAGAACCAAAGACTTTGTCTCACAAATCTTACGTCCTGGTGGTTCCAGTACAGCCAAAGAAAAGAAGAATACAAACAGGAGTAAAACGTGGATTAAACTCTAATATATTGAAGAAAAAGTAGGCTCACCAGGCGGTTTCTGTCAGGACACTACAAGACACTGAGTCAAGTGAAGTCTGGAACAGTATCGGTGTCAAAAACACTCAATCGTAATATACACGTATTGTGGGAACTTCAACAGCTTTTAATCAAGATATCTTCAGGTTTGTCAATACAAATGTCCGTTAGAACATTTCTGTTGCAAAGCTATCAATTTTACAGTCACGGTATGTAGTGCCAGCTTGTACCCAGTACAAGCCTGATTATGGCGTTATAATTAGTGCTTACTTGTACTTAGTCCAAGCCGGTTTACATTTACATTGGTGCCAGCTTGTACGTAGTCAGTGAATATCTGTATCTGTATAGCCGGTATAACCGGCTTTCGGCGTAACACACAAGCTTCGCAGGCACGCGGCGCGGCGGCAGCTGGCTGTATTACACTGATCGACTTGCTACACCTAACCCTTGAACTTATAACTGTAGACATTGATTAAAGCTATCTAATGACAATGCCCCTACTGTACTTGGTGACAGTGGGTTCCACTCTGTGATAGTTCTAGGAAAGAATGAATTCTTGAACACCTCAATCCTTGATTGATAACCCTGGTATTTGAAGGCATGGCTATTTCTTGGCCGATGAATAATTTCATCAGGTTGGTGAATGATTGAATAATAGCGACGTTTCGAAGTTTCGATGACCGTCTCTATCTGTATATCTGTACATGAATCTGTATCTGATTGCGAATAAAGATATCGAGTGATTGCCATATCAAATGTATGTTATCTCATTTTATATGATGATGAAAATGAATGACAAAAAGACAATGAGAAAAGAGGATTTGCGTTGACTGTAAGATTTTATTCCAGTCTTTATTTTTGCCTTGCTGCCGCCTCTGGTGAATCTGCAACTTGGCCCAGCTGTATAAAAAAGGACATTCATGTTGATAATGGCTTCAAATATTCATCACAAATTGCAAAAGTTGGATTGCGGGGAAACTGGCAAGCTGGAAAAAAATTCAAGCTAACTGTTATTAAGATAAACTAGTAGAACCAGGCCTAGTAGCTTGTGCAGACAGCCAAAAGAAACAGAACAAACTACCTTAGGTTTTTGTCTATGTGCATAATCATTGTGGTTGTAAATAATTGACAGTTTTGTTTTTATGTTTAGCGATGGAAAACATATTGTTTTTACTCAGTTTCTTCCTCTTCTCCTTCTCCTTCTCCAAACAGTGACCTATGACTTGACCAATGATATGATTTGTTGACGTCTGTCACCATGGTGACTGGTGTTAGGTTACATAATGTTGCAATTTCATGGTCTGCTCTGCTCCTGCAGTGTCACCATATACTAGTAGTATATGTAATGTGAATGTGTTTGAGTAAGAATTAACATACTGGACCATGTCCGAAAGTAAACATTATGCATTTGCAAATGTTACATCTCTAGTTCATATGTAGGTTCCACAAAGCAGGAATGTGCTTTGTTTTATGCATGCTATTCATGGTTATCTGAAGAAAGTATCAAAATAGAACCTTATCCAGTGATAGGGTCAGTGATGCCGGAGGTCACGATGGCGTTCCACACAGTATAGAACCCGGCTCCCTCCCCATTTTCCAGGTAGCCACTATCTGTAAACAGTTAAAAACCAAAGATAATTGATGAATAACCGTTAAAAATTTTCAGTTAATTAGTGAGGCGCTGATCGTGCCTGAGCTATCTGGACTGGACACCTGGACTATCCAGAACCAGCCCTGAGTACATGATTGTGGTTATTGAAAACACGTTTCTGGATAAACGTGGACTATTTAGAACTAAGCCTAGCAATACGTATCTGATTATTTACTACAGACTCCAGGAAGAGTAGTGTGAAATTCACACTAATGGAGATCCTAAACAAACAAACAAACATTGTGGGGACGTGTGGCGTAGCGGCAGACTGCCGGGTTCAAGTCCTGACATGCCACCGATCTTGTGCCCTTGGGAAAGGCACTTTACTCGACTTTTCACTTAACTGAAAATAAGTATTGTGCTGTTCTGTATTTGTACTCTGTGTTGGTGGCTGCATAAAATAAGTTGATAAAACTTGACTGTGCATATACTAGCTAGAGTTTCATGTTGGCATAAAAACAATAAATAAACAAACAAACAAACAAACAAACAAACAGTACCCTACCGTCCAAGTCCAGTCTTTGGAAGATCTCCCGCAGACCCATGTGATGGCTGCGCGCCTCCTGGAAGCTGACGGTTCCGTCGTGGTTGTTGTCTTGGTCGATAACGAACTGCCCGGTCTGCCCACCGAGCAAAATCGTCAGCTCGAGGACAGTGAGTTCGCGATCTCCTGCGCGAACAACAAGACTGACAATGGAAACGTTTGAAACTAAGATGTATATGTCAGTCAGTCTTAACAGATTATGACTAAACTGTGCATACCAAAAACAGAATGGTTCATTCCTAATAAGAAACAAGTCAACTTTGAGCCAATTTGAAAGTAAACTTTGTTTACTAAGTTTAACTTAGTTTACTTTCAAATTGGCTCAAATTTGACTTATACATATATATATATATATATATATATATATATATATATATATATATATATGTGTGTGTGTGTGTGTGTGTGTGTGTGTGTGTGTGTGT